AGCATGGTGATAAAAAGAAAGAGCACAAGAAAAGAGAAATAAAGGTAGGAAAGGAAGAAATTACATTATCATTATTTGCAAATGATATGAAACTCTATATAGAACACCTCAAAAACTCCATAAAAAGACTTCTAGAGTTAGTAACCTAGTTCAGGAGAGTAGATGGATACAAAGTTAGTACACAAAAATTAATAGCATTCTTGTACAGAAATAACAAACATCGAGAGAGAAATTAGGGGAAACAACACCATTCATAATAGCACTGAAATAAAATGAAATACTTAGGAATCAATCTAACAAAGACAGTAAAAGATCTCTACATTGAAAAATACAGCACATTGAAAAAGGAAATTGAGGGGCTGGGGATTTAGCTCAGCGGCAAAGCGCCTGCCTGGCAAGTGCAAGGTCGTGAGTTCGGTTGCCGGTACCGGAGAAAAACAAAAACAAACAAACAAACAAACAAACGAAAAAGGAAATTGAAGGTAATGTAGAAAATGGAAAAATATCCCATGCTCTTGGGTAGGAACAACACTAAAAGTGGCCATACTCCCGAAATGATTATGCAGGTTGCATACAATCCCAATCAACATACCATTAGCATATCTCACAGAACTAGGGAAAATATTCCTAAAATTCATTTGGATGGACCTTCAAACCATAGTCTTAATTGAACACACATGAGTAAATATCACATTGTTTCTCTTGTGTGAAAAACTGAAAGTGTGGAGAAGAACCAAGATATATACTAGACATTGTGAAATAGAAAGTAATTGTTCAAAAGGAAAGGGAAATTGGCAGGGGAAGAAGGAAGGGAAAAGAAAAAATGAGAGAAAATAGAATGAAACGGAAACAAAGCTTTGTATATGATAATAAGAGGGATTGAAGTGAGGGGAGGGGAAAGAGTAAAAAGAGAAATAAAGATATATTATGTACAGGTACAGATTCCCTATGATGAATGTGATCATAATATATATCGAAATTGTACAAATAAATTTAATTTAAAAAATGAAAGATGGAAATAAAATGACAAAAATAATTTGGAAAGTAAAATTCGCACATAGGGAAAAAATTTTAAAGACTAAAGTTGGTTCTAGTAAAAAGTCAAATGATAATGCCCAATAAACTTGATCAAGAAGAAAAAGCAAAATTGCAAAATAAAATATCATGGTCAAAATTTTGGTCATTGTATAGGTTTACAAACTATTTTGCATACCAAAATTGATAAATAATTTTACATTAATATATTCAAATTTCACATGAAATTCACAAGTATATTAGAAAAAGTTCAACAAAAATTTTCTGAGAAAAATGAAAATTCTCTAAAGAACAATGTCTATTAAAGTCTATAGAGATTCCCCACTTAACAATTTACCTGTTTAACAACTTTTCAGACTTACAACATGTCCTTTTTTGTACAGTTCTGTAGATCTTGTTTATAAAGCCTCAACATCTTTTTCAGTCCACATTAAAGAACTGTATGTAAGAGTTAAGCAAATAAAAACTGGAATCTTGTGGAGGAAGATGCTGAACAGGAACTCTATCATACAGGAGGAAAGGCATTTCTATGGCACAAGCCTAAGAAGGGCAAATGGACCATTTTACTGTGTGTGAACACAAATGCTGATCTGAAGATTAAGCCACTACTTCCCATACCCCTTGTGCATTCAAAGAACAGAATGTGATCAGGGCCAGACTGCTTGTCATGTCAATTTGAAAGTTTGGGTCACGAGGCAATTATTCATGGCTTGGGTACATGAGGTGTTCACACTCATCATTAAGAAATATCTTTTTGACAACCAACTGCCTGAAAGGTTCCTTCTTCTGATGGACAGTGCCCAGGAGACACCCTCTAGCCTTGGTGGATGATATGGATGATGAGCATGACTTCATAAAGGTCAAATCCCTCCCCTACATTCCATGGACCAGAAAGTGATCTGCAGCTTGAAGAAGCTATACACAAAAGTGGTCTTCAACAGGTGGTTTGATACCACTGAAGAGACATCCTTGACACCAAAAGAGTTCTGGAAGAAACATTTCACTGTCCCCCACTACATTAACTTCACTGACAAAGCCTGGGAAGATGTCATGTACCAGATCAAAACTCAGCCTGGAGAAAACTGTGCCCAGAATGTGTTACTGAATGTGACTTTGAAGAGTCTGATGCACAGGTGATGGAGGACATTGTGTTCATGCACAAGAATATGGGTCTAGACATCAGTGGTACAGACACAAAGGAGCTTGTTGAGGACCATAAGAAGGAGCTAAAGATGCAAGAATTTGAGGAGCTAAAGATGGAAGAATTTGCTGAACTCCAGAGCAAGCATCAGAAGGTGCTTGTTGAGGAGCATTCCCCTGAGCAAGAGGAAGATGGGGAGGAGGTTAGCAGTGATGTGATAAAATGCATTATGGAAAGTGGGATGAATGCCAGGATTTTTTTTAGAAGTACTACTCTAACACCACTGTAATGAACACAGTGTTGAATCTGATGAACAATAATATGGTCTCATTTCCAGAGGGTTGTGCAATGCAGGAAAGAACAAATGACATTAGACAAATTTTTTGTCAAAATTTACCTTGCAGCTAAGAGACAAAGAAGAGAGGAAACCCCTAAAAGAGATACCCTCCATGTCCATATGTTCAATGTCCTTATGGAGGGGGACTCTCCCTCCAAACAAAAACCTCCTCCCCACTGACCTTCCCATCCTCCGCACCAGAAGTTGTCTCAAGCAAGGTTAGTGTCCTCCCTCTTTATATTGTGCTGTACTGTACTTTGTTTTACATTTTTGTGCTTAAAAAATACACATAGTTCAAAATGGATTAACTTTACATTGGAACTCATGGGAAAATTTGATTCGGTTTGCAATCAAAATCAACTCATAACCAACCTTGTTTGTAGGGCTCAGAAGGGATTAACCTTATTTACATTGAACCTTATGGGAAAATTTGATTCTGTTCATGACCAGCTAGATTTTCAACCAGAATTGTGGAGAGAATAAAATTTGTGAACCAAGGTACCACTCTGTGCAGTATAGCCACAGCCTCACTTCTCAGTATGAATTTTCTGCCCTAGCCTGCTTTTTAAACTTTAATTATTTTTAATTGACAGATAATAATTGTAAGAATTTTATGTGACTATGGGAAGCAGTATATACATTATGTGATGATCAACCATGATAGATTATACATCAGCTCAAACACCATTTCTTTGTGACCTGAACACTCAAAATCCTGATTTTCATGTTCAACACCTTTAGCCATCAGAGAAGTTAATATCAAAAGTTCACAGAGATTCTAGGTAGAATAGCTATATTCTTATAGCTTCCATCTTATCTCGGTAGAATAGCTATATCAATAAAAGGAAAAATAACAATGCTGGCAAGGGTGTGGAGTAAAAGTAATTCTCATACACTGTCTGTGAGAATACAGGTTAGTACAAGCATTATGGAAAGTTAAATAACATGGAGATTCTTCAAGATGCCGAAGAGCGCTATGTCATACAATTCAACTATAACACCCTTGAGTATATGCTGAAAGGAAATGAAATTTCCATACAGAACAGGTACCCATTGTCTTGGTTACTTTTCTTTCATTGCTGAGACAAAATACCCAACAACCAAAAATAAGGAAGAAAAGATTTATTTAGCTCACCGTTTGTGGATGCTTCAGCCCATAATCACCTGGCTCCAAGGCAGAGTGGTATGGCACAGACAGGGGCAAAAATACAGTGGCAGAACACAGCAAAAGCAACAAAAGCAAAAAGGGGAAAAGCAAATCTCCATTCCTACCTTATGTTGTATGCTGGCTATCTTCCCAAACCATCTCCATACCCTCCTCTTCCACAAGCTCAGGATGTTTACAAAACGTGAACCCTGGCCCCCTGCTGAGTCACTTAGTGAAGATTCTAACTCCTCAGTTCTCAAGTTGACACTATGTATCAACCATTACACCTGCACACCCATGTTTATTATGGCACTATTCATACTGTGTTTATTGTGGCACTATTCATAAAGACCAAGATATGGAATCAGTCTAGGTGTGCATCAACATCTTAGGGATACATCTATATATCTTTATCCATCTATCTATCTATCAATCACCTATCTGAAGAATAAAATCATGTCATTTTCAGGAATATGGATGAAATCAATCATTATTATGTTAAGTGAAATTAGCCAGACATATAAAGATAAGTATCACATATTTTTCTCTTCTATTGGAAAAAAAGAAAATACAATTATTATCTGTCAATTAAAAATAAATTAAAAAAAGAAAATAAAAGATAGACCTTTAAGGCAAGGGAAGAGGCCTAGAAGAAGGGAAGAGAGAGGGCAAAAAATGTAATGGGGAAAGTGAATATGATCAAAGTATGAAATATGCATATTTAGTACAATTCACTAATTATAATTTTAAAATGTTATTAAAAATCTTCCCTTCTTGCTGTCTTGATTCACTTGATGCAGTACTGTTAAGTACAGTCATCTTTCTGTGTAACAGCACACCAGAGCCCTCCTCTCAGTTTTTCTGCCAGTCATCATTCCCCCATTGTTGCTGTCTTCCACTCTTTCAACTTCTGTAAAAGTTATTATTGCAATCTTTGTGCCTCTGAGTAGATTCCACAAATGGGTGAGAGCATGTTTGTCTTCCAGTGCCTGACTTATTTTGTATTTCACTTGACATTGCGATTCCCGGGCCCATCCATGTTGCTGCAAATGACAAAATTTTACTCTTTTCTTATTGATATATATCAATATATCTGTATCTATATATCTATATCTATATTCATGAGGATGGTGTCCTGTTATTGAATCCCTTCTGAAAGGATGTATCTTAGTAAGTTCACAGTGGAAATTAAGTTTCAAGATGAATTTCAGAGGGGACATCCACATCCTGGCAATGTTATTTTTCTGATAGAAATCAAGGCATAAAAATAGAAGTGGCACCACTCACCATCTCTTCAGTGAACCTTTAGCAAATATTTGTTTCTTGTTTCTACAACTTAGAGCTGCACTGGTCACTTTGGGACCCACATCCCTCTGAAACAATAGGCAAAACGTGGAATTTCTGTGCTGGCTTGTATGATTGATCCTGACGAGGAAGGGGAAAGTGGACTGCTACTACATGACAGGTAAGGAAGATTACGTCTGCAACACAGGACACGGTATGCTGGTTCTTACTATTGCTATACTTTGTGATTAAGATCAATGGTAAGCTACAACCATGCACTTCAGAAGGACTACTAGTGCCCCATATTCTTAGAGAATGAACATTTGGATCACACCACCAAGTAAGGAAATATGGCACACTGAGGTTCTTGCTAAAAGCAAAGTGAATATAAGGCAAGTAGAAGGAAAAGGTAGCCACGAATACCAGCTGCAAGCATAACTAGTTACACAAAAGAATAATGCAATTATTATGAGTACTCTGTCTTATTTTGTTATGAGGTATATGTATGTGTGTGCGCCTTCACCTCTTAGCATCACATTTATCTATAAACATATCAGTGGGCACTGATCAGCATTATGCCCACATGATTTAGTCACCTCTCCACAGCCCCGCTATCAGCATGTGAGGCTTTGGGAGGACACCTAGATTTAAGCCATAACATTGGCTGTGAAATCAAGGAAGTTTGAGTCTTCTAATTTTTAAAATCTTTTTCAAGATTGTTAATGACTTCTGGGTCCTTTGCATTTCCATATGAATATTACAATCAGTTTGTCAAGTTCTGCCAAAAAAACCTCTGTGATTATATTGAATCTTTGGGCCAATTTCAGGAATATTTTGATATAATTTTCATATTATTTCTGTATTTGCAACCTTGAACATAGAATATATTTTTTCTCTTTTTTATTTTAAAGAGAATAAAAAAAAACAAGATAATAACAACATAGACAAAACAAAACAAAGTAAAAACAAAAATTGATACAGCATTTCAAAACAAAATGATAGAGATTACCAGTGGTTGTTATATTACATATTATTATCTTCAGCGAAGTTGCTCAGATTACCAGATGTAAGAGTGCAGGATTGATCAAATCATTAAAAAGAATAAAAACTAATAAAAAAATTAGGAATAATATACAGCTTCACTAAAAAGATGGTAGGAATCCACCAATGGTTGTTATATGGCATGTAGTAGTCTTCAAATTAGTTGTTCAGATTACCAGATATAAGTGTGAAAAATTGGTAAAAAAATTTAAGCATTAAATGTTCTTTTCAACAAACTATTAGACATCAGCAGTGCGATTGTCCCAGCTATCTGTCACCTATGTATTTATTATCCTGTCTTTCTTTCTTCTGATATCTGTTATTTATCTATCATCCCTTCTTTGTTTCTTTCTTTAACTTTTTCTAACTCTTTTTAACTTCTTTATTTTACAGACAATGGTTAAAAAAAAGAATAATATCAAAATACCAACATCAATAAGAAAGAAGGCAAATATTTATTTATTTATCATCCCTTCTTTGTTTCTTTCTTTAACTTTTTCTAACTCTTTTTAACTTCTTTATTTTACAGACATAGTATTAAAAAAAGAATAATATCAAAATACAAACAAAACAAAGCAAGGACATTAAAAATGATATGGAGTTTCAAACCAAATGATAGGGATTAACAGTGGTTGTTATATTACACATTGCTGTCTTCAACTAAGTTGCTCATATTACCAGATGTAAGAAGGGAAGATTGATCAAATCATTAAAGGGAATAAGAAAATAATAATGTAGGGGCTGGGG